AAATTCTTATTTTATGTTTTTTTGATTAATTTTAGTTTAAGAATTTGATTTTAAATTTAAAATATCAATACTTTGAAACTAACTTACTTTTTTTTTTAATTTTTTAATTTTTTATAAAACATATATACATTAGTTAACTAGAGAAAGAATGAAATAAAATTTTAATAATATAAGAATAGATAGAAGTTGAAATTGAAATTAAATTAAAGTTTAAGTTTTTTAAATTTAAGAAAATTGGAAAATTTCTAAAATATATTAATGCAAATTAAGTTTATTTCAAAATTGAACTAGTTTAACATCCACAATATTGGTATTAGAAATAACTAAATTATCAAATACCTATGCAATCAAGCAACTTGTATCAGTAATAGTGATAGAAAGTTGCTAATTAACTGATTCAACTATATTAAATCTAGTAAAATAAGAAATTTAATTTATATTCGGAATGCAATAATGATTGAAAAAATAAGTTTATTAATCAGAAGTACAGCTATTGCATTTATGAAACTTGCTCGACATGTTTTTGTCATTTTAACATTTAGCAATGATATTTATTTGGAGAGATGTATAAATTGAACTAATAGTAGTTGAAAATACACCAATAGAATTGAAAATTTAATTTGTTTCTTCAATTTATATATAAAAAGGCCCTCTAGCTGATGCTTCACAATCGAACTTCGATGAAATTCTCATACCTTAACATTCCATTGCTTTATACGTAATATATGTCATCCAAACTATTTAAAATGTATTAGGAATCATAGTCCCTTCAGAAATTGAAAAGGATGCTGTAGTTGTTGTGTATGTATATTATTTGTTGAATCTAAGATTATAATTAAGTATTGAATATTTTAAACCTACAATTGGTACCAAAAGCCAGCTATTTTTTTATCTTGCAAATTATTCACTATTGTAATTTGATGTAATAGCTTGAGTTTAAAGAATATTTAACATCTCATCTGATCCTAAAATAATTTAGTAACCTAATTATTTTAGGTTTTCGAACTTTCCTGCAACATAACTAATAGATATTGTAACTGTTGTTGAGGTAAGTTATGAAACCTATTTTAACTAAATTAATATTACAGAAGCAACGAAATCTATTTAGCCAATTAACGATAGACTTGTTGGAATAACAATTGCAGATACAGCATTTGGCAATTAATGATTGAAAATCTTAATTGTAGGAGGATCTGCTAAATTAAAGCTATTAATAACTTGGATTCTATAATCATCAATAGCATACCATCTAAGGAAGATGGCATAAACTCTCTCAGCAATACATTTTATTAGAAGATCGAAGTCTAAAATAAATTTAAAAATTACTTGTCAAAGTAATGCTTGTGATAGACAATTAGTATTCCTAAAAACCCCAATGCAAATCGTAATAATCCAAGATTAAAAATACTTGAGGGATATTCAAAAAAGTTCCTGAAAAAGCAATAGTGTATGATTTAGAAAATGAATTCATACAGACAAATCCTGTAACACGATAATCCATCTATGTGAAATATCCAGTATCATGTTTGATGTATCCTAAAGTTGGATTAAGGTGAGTGATAATTAAGAAAAACACCAATGAAGAATTCATAGAGATTAAATGATTTAAATTTTCATGCAAAAAACAAATTTAATCAACCTTATAGTGATACGATAAAAAATTCAATTTTCTGGAGAACTATTTTCTGTTTAACTTAATTCACATTATTACAAATTATCTGTGAATAAAACACCACTTTCATTTCTTCTTATCCATGGTGCTTCAGGTCTACACTCAATTGATTAAGCCTAAATTAATATCAATATCTAATTACATTTAAAGATTAAATAATTAGAAAATCAAATTATGGAGTAATATCTTTTGGTTGTGCAATAGGTAGTGAAAAATATGGATAAATTGAATATTAGGTTGACACAAATGGTTGTAGTTTATTTGTATCGGCTAACATAATTTCAATTCCTTGTGGGTTATCTTACAAATTAAATTCAGTTTAATCAATTAATAGATTTCTGATTGATTAAAGCATAATA